AGAAAGTTGGAGAACCCAAACCCTGGAGGATGGGGGACAGAGCCGAGGGGAAAAGGCAGGTTGGTGGGAGCCCACGGAGAGACAGAACTGAGCCCATTTAGTTGTGCTTGGGGGCTTTCTTTTCCTGGAAGACCCTCTGCCCTCCGCCCTCTGCCCCAGCATCGGCAGTGAGGCGATGTCTGTGCCCCCGTTACTCCAGCCTTGAAGGAGGGAGCCTTTCGCAGAAGCCTGTCCCTGCCCGGAAGCCGTGGTCGCAGTAGGTGGGGGGTGTGCATGATATTTGTCGAGCTGGTAAGTGCTCAGCCCAGAGCCCATGGTGGGTGCTGTGACATGGTGCTGATCTTCATGACATTGGGGAGGTGACCGCCCATGAGCAGTCGTGTATGGCAGTCACGCCGTGGCATGGAGATGAACCCCACGCCCATGTGCGGGACCCACATGGCTCCGACATGGCTTACTTCCCACCTGACCACCACCAGCATCGGCTCTCCCCCGTGTCCCACAAGATGAGGACCTGTAATACTATTGGGGAACATTGTCCCCGCCCTCAGGGAGTGAGGCTGGGAGGAAGGAATGTCGGGGTGAGAAGGGGCTGGCTGGCCAGCCAGGCCTGGGGCCTCTTACAAAGGTTCTCAATCTCCATGTTCCAGGCCTGGGCATCCTCACTGTCCCTGCTGGCTCTGAGTGATTAAAACCCAGAGGCTGAGATCTGAGGATCACGGTTCTAAGCCAGCATGGGCAGGAAAATCTATGAGACTCTTTATCTTCCAGTTAATCGCCATCAAGCTGGAAGTGGAGCTGTGGCTCAAGTGGTAGAGCGCCAGCCTTGAGAGAAGGCTAGGACAGAGCCCGGACCCTGGGTTCTGGCCGGCACAAATTTTTAAAATGTGACAGTGGCTGCGGCCGCCATCTGTCATGCTGCTGCCCCGTTGTGTCCGGGCCGTGTCCTGCTACAGGAGCTGGTGTCAGATCCTGTGTCTCTGCGCTGGTACTTCCTGCCTGCCTGCATTTTCAGCTTGATTGTAATTGCCGGAGTAGGCAATCAGGGTAGTGGATCCGGGTCTTGTCCACCACGCCTGGCCGTCTGTGGTCAAGGCGAGGTCATCTCTCATCCTCAGGGTTTGCGTCTGTATGTGGGACACTCCCGTGGCAAAGGTGAGGGTTGGGGTTAGGATGACAGGGGTCCTTATTTGTCACATGTATGTTGTGCTTTCGGGAACTCCGCAAGTGTTTACTGAGCTCCAAGGAGTGCCGAGGGAGCCTTCTCTGGTCTGAGGATAAAGTCGCGATTAAAGTACACAAAGAGCTCCTGGTTGTGGAGAGATGGGCATAAGCACCAGCTGCTCCTCACCTCTCACTAACTCAGCTAGAAAACCCAGGCAGAATGACCCACACCTACCTATTTTGAAAAAAAAAAATGAAAAGCTCTAGCAGACAGATTATAATTCAAAATTCCACCCAGAGAACGGATATAAACAAAAGCTCCGAGTCTTAGTGGGTAATATTTAAAATGTCCAGAATATAGACAAAAATAACTGGACATACAACAGCAACACCAAAAAAAGAAAGCCATGAAAATCCCCACTTGCGTGAAGAAAAGCAGTGGCCAGGCTGACTCTAGCGAGGAGAGCAACACAGATGGCAGAATTATCTGGCCAAGACTTCCAGGCAGCCATTGCAAAAATACCAGACCAAGTGATCAAAAATAATCTGGAAACGTATCAAAATAGAAAGACTCCACAAAGGAACAGAAGATGTAAAGAGCCAAATGGAAATTTGAGAAGCTAAAAAAGCAACAAATGGCTGGGTGTCAGTGGCTCACGCCTATAATCTTAGCTACTCAGGAGGCTGAGATCTGAGGATAGCGGTTCAAAGCCAGCCTGGACAGGAAAGTCTGTGAGACTCTTATCTCCAATTAACCACCGGAAGACTGGAAGTGGTGCTGTGGCTCAAGTGGTAGAGCACTCACCTTGAGCTGAAGAGCTCAGGGACAGCTCCCAGGCCCAGAGTTCAACCCCCACAACTGACAAAAACAACAACAAATGATCTATCGCACGTGTGCGTGATCTCTCTCTCTCTCTCTCTCTCTCTCTCTCTCTTTCTCTCTCTCACTCTCTTCGTCCATGTAGTCTATTTCTCATGGAGCTCACAATTCAGTTGGAGGTAGGGAGGTAGAGGTTGTTAACAGATGATAAAGACACAGGCGATGGTAAATTCTTGGAAAGGAATAAAGCAGGGTAGACAGAGCATGGTGACAGTGGTATGGTAACTATTCTGAACCTAAAATAGAATAGAAAAGAGCCTTCCAAAGAGATGGCATGTGAGTAAAGGAAAATGGAGGGATAGGGCCACGTACCTAAGGGAAGATTTTCTGGGAGGTGGAAGGAGCACGTGCAAAGGCCCTGAGGTAGGGACGTACTTGGGATGCTCAGGTATCCATGTCTTGTGGGAAGGAAGGAGACAGGACAGGTTGAGGATGAGGAGGGATGAAGTCTGAGAGGTGGGCAGGGACAGAGGTGGTACGAGAGGAGACTGGAGCAAAGCAGGCGTTGGATGCTGTTGCATCTCCCATGCCCGGGAGATGGGGGAAGGGGAAATGCAGTTGAGTTCTGGATATACTGTTCAGAGGTTGCGGGCTTGGCTGGCTGCTTGGGTGGCAGAAGCAGGAGATTCCAGGAAGAAAGCCGGGTGCTGTGAGCTCCCTGGGGGGCACGTGTGGGGGGAAGCACAGCCTCTGTTTGAAAGCTTTTCCGTTGAGGTGCAGAAGGCATCTCAGGGGTCCCCAAATGGTTGATGTGGAGCTTGGTATCACCAGAGACCCTGGGAGAGGGATGCAGGTCTGCCCTCATGTCTCACAGAGTTGAGACTTAGGTTACAGTGAGCCCGATCATGCTCGGTGACAGCCTGGCGCTTACCATGGCGAAGGAAGGGCGGGGTGTGGGTCCAGCTCTGCCACTTGGGGCCGTGTAATCCCCTCGATGTCTCCCCGCGAGAGGTGGGAACCAACACAGCAATTCATTGGGTGCAGTGGCTCATGCCTGCTCAGGAGGCTGAGCTCTGAGGATGGACATACAAAGCCAACCCTGGCAGAAAAGACTGAGACTCTATCACCAGTTTACCAGCAAAAAGCTGGAAGTGGAGCTGTGTGGTTCAACTGGCAGAGCGCTAGCCTTGAGTGCAAAAGCTACACAAAAGCACAAGGCTCTGAGCTCAAACCCCACGAGTGTCACACACACACACACACACACACACACACACACAATGCTCCTCTGTCCTAAGATTGTCACAAACAAATGAGTGTGTGCGTGTGAGGCACTTGGCCCGGTACCCGGCAGAGGAAGAGCTCTAGAAATGCCATCATTATTATCACTTCGCTCTTGGCTGGCCCTGGAGACCCCAGCTCCCTGGGGTCCCCTCTCCTGAAGGAGGATTCCTTGTTTGTTTTGTGGATTGCTTCCCCCACACACACACCTCTGTGTCGACGCTCATCCTCGGAATGGGGACCACACTGTGACATCTGTCTCCCTTCACCCCATGTGTGTTGGAAGACAGGGCTGTCCCTGTGTCATCTCTGCTGCCCAGGACAGGTGGGAACAAGCAGGTCTTCCTGCCCACTGGGCTGTGGCTTTCTCGGCACACACAGACTGTGGGGCTCCCCGTGAGCCCTGACCGCGGCCTGGGTGAGAGATCACAGGGGAGCTGGAGGGGGTGAGCCCCAGGCTTTATCCCTTCCCTCTGCAGCCTAGGGCCACACGGGTCCAATCTGCCTCCAACTTCCATATTGATCCTTTTGGAGATCAATTCTTGTTTTTTCTTCCTGGAGTGTTGTAGTCATTAAGTTCCAAGCAGGGGTCAGGCCCCTGGGCTCGATCGGCTGGGGTTGCCTGCACAATTGAAATCCTCAAACCCATCCTGGCTAGTTTTCTCATTAAGGCAATCGGACTGGATTGGTCTGTTTGATTGATGGTCGATGGTCAGACGGCAGCCACGGGAAGCCAATCCCATGGGCCTGGGTGACCAGCCCACCCCATTGAGCAGAAGTGGGCGTCCAGGACTCTGGGGTGAGCCTCGGGGAGGCAGCGGAGAGGGGGACAGGTCTCACCAGCTGGATGTCCTCAAGGTGCGGCTCACACTGAGCAGGCAGCCGTCCTGGGGCAGCTAGTGGACAAGAAGCAGGATGTGGTGTTTGCATAAATATGAGGTTTCTTCTTGGGTGACCAGCCTACCATTTCTTCCTCTCCCATCACCAAGTGATGGACCAGCCCTCGGGTGCATGTCAGGGCATTTGCAATGAGGCTTTTCCCAGGAGTTTAACGAGAAGTAAGAGGCCACGAGGTTGGGGTGGAAGGCTTGGTGACCAGACCCCGGTGACGGGGCTGCTGAGCACGCTGATGGATGGGTGGAGACACCTTGAAGGAAAAGCTGTTTGGAGACCCTGGGTTGATGCATGCATATAGGTGCATTTCTGGCAAGACTTAATAGGCCAATCGTGTGCCAGTATTCTAAAGGGGCGGGGTCAGTATGGGCCAATCATAAGCTAGCACTCCAAAGGGGTGAGGTCAGCGTGCATGGACCAGTCGTGTGGCAGGGCTCCAAAGGGGCAGGATCAGCGTGGGCCAATCATGTGTCAGGACTCCAAAGGGGTGGGGTCAACGTGGACTAGTTGTGTGCTGGGACCCCAAATGGGTGGAGTCAGTGTGAGCCAGATTGTGGGTGGACATGCACCAAGCTCTCACGAGAGGTGGGACAGTTTCCCCCTTCACCAGGGAAATGGATCCCCCAAAGTTCTTCCTGTTTGGGCCCATGGGAGCCACGAAGGTGGCTGGAAGGGAGACAGCAAAAGTGAGTGAGAAGCAAGAGCACTAGGAGTTCATCACAGAGGCAGTGTGAGGATGCCCCTACAGTTCATCCAGGGGGTCACTCCAGGCCTCCTGGCCAGCTCCAGCCCTCACCTCCTCCTCTCTTTCTCTCTCTCTCTCTCTTTCTCCTGTCTCCCACAGGATACCTGACTGTCAACATTGAGCCTCTACCCCCTGTGGTGGCGGGAGATGCTGTGACCTTAAAGTGTAACTTCAAGACGGATGGTCGCATGCGTGAGATCGTGTGGTACCGGGTAAGTGGGCCGCTCCGTGTGGCTGTCCCTTCATGTCAGGGCTGATGGGCAGAGGCCCGGAGCCCCTGGACACTTCCCTGGCAGCCCTGAGTGATCCAGTGCCATCCGCCAGGTCCCCGCCCTCAAGCAAGCCCACCTCACCCAACCCTTCCCTATACCCTCAGGCGCTAGTTCATTCTAACATCTTCGAGCTGCTGATGAGCTGTGTTTGTGGAGGTTTCTTTGGGCACCGTGGGCCTCATGGTAGGGTTTGTGGTAGGAGGCGTTGAGCGATGTTTTTGGCACAGGATAAAGAAACAGGATGGATGGCTCCCTGGTTTCCTTAAAATTGCCTTTGGAGCTATCGGCTACCTAATCTCACTACCTCTAGGCCCAGACCGGTGCCTGGCATTGTAGTTTGGGTCTGTGTAGGGAAGCAGCTGAGATAAGCAGGTATCCACCTGTCTAGGGGTGGGGTGGATGCCAGCAGTAAGAGTGGCGATAAGCCTTTGGGCTCTGATAAGAGGCAACTGGTGCTGGCATCTCTGTGGATGAGGGTAAGACAGACCAGCCTTGTCTCCAGAGGTGTAGCTGGTGCTGCTGCCCTCCCCAAGGCCACGCCCCAGCGTGCACGGAGCCCGCTACCACAGAGAGTGCCCTAAAGCCGGGCTGGCTGAGCCACATTTCTCGGTGAAGGCCCAGATCGTAAATGTTTCCTCTCTGCCGACCGAGGCGTCTTTGTCAACTTCTCAATGCGGCTGTTGTTGTGTGCAAACAACCCGACAGCGTGTAAATGAAAGGGTACGCTTGTTCCTCTAACACGTTACGCATGGACACCAAAATTTGAATTCTGCCTAATTTTCATGGGTTACAAAATATTCTCCATATTCTTATTCTTTTGTATTTCAACTACTAAAAAAAAAAAGTTAAGCCTGTTCTTAGCTTGTGGATTGTACAGAAATGGGGTGTAGGCTGATTTGGTTCATAGGCTGTGGTTACAACTCCCAGGTCTAAATACACTGGTTCTATTCTGTGTGTCTGCCCTGCCTGCGTATAAAACCAGCTGACGAGAGTCAGGACGGGCTGTTTTGGGAGGGGGAGGGGAAGGGCGCAGGGTGGTGGTGGTAGTGGATGGATAGTTTGGTGATCTGGAATTGAGAGCTGCATTTCTGCTTCTTGGGGTTTCTTGGTACCCACATACCATGCCTAGAAACTCTAATGTCAAAGGAGGCTGCTCATGGCCTTGGTCCAGAACAGCTCCCCCTCCTCTTTTTCTTCCTCCTCCTCTTCCTCCTCCTCTGTTCTTGTCCAGTCTTGCTTGGAACCAGACTTTCCTGCTGTTTTTCTTATGTATCTCTGGTCTTTGATTCACCGCTTTCTGATTAGGGCTATTGGGCTGGCCTGGACTTACACTCCTGTTAATCCACATCAGTGCTCTTCATCTTGGCAGCATAGCCTCTGCTGCGTGGAATCAGCTTCACGGCCCTCCGCCCGAGTCCCACAGGTAGGACTGACACCTGGTGCCTTGCAGGGTCCTGGTCTTAGGGAAGGGCACCACTGGACAGATCCACAAGTCCAGCGACAGCCAGGGTCTGCGGTATGGCCGCAATCACTCCGAGGCGGAGTCGCCGGGACTGGAGCTGCTTGGCTGATGGGGACTGGAAGCATCTCATTAGCACCTGGCAGAAAGACAGAGATAAATTAACTCCAGCTCACTGCTGAGGTTGAGGCTGAGGCCACATCCCTCCCTCTCCTGCTACAGTCCCTGGATAGGATCTGAGGGAGGAGGAAGAGAGGGACTGCTGAGAACCTAGCATGGGGGAGAAAGGGGACCGGAGCTGGGAGATGGGAACACAGCGGGATTCTACCGCCTTGCGCTGCCCTAGCGCTGTCCTGGCAGCCGCCCTCCCTCCGGTTTGAGATCGACCGATCCTGTCACACTCAGGGTGGTTAGAACTCCTCGCACAGGCAGCTGCCGCACAGGGGCCGTGCCAGGCCAGGCTGGGCCCCTGCAGGGATCCAGGCTGTAGTTACACAGAAGCTGAAGCCCTAGGCAGGATGGAGACTTTCCTCTCTTCTCCCTCCTCCAGCCTGGCCCCGGGCACTGATGGGCTTAAAGATCCAGTTACATCTCTTATGGGTGTCAGGCCCTGCATGTCAGGCCACGGTAGCGTGCGCTAATTAATTTATTTTATTTCATTTCACATCCTTTGACTAAGGGCCCCTGGAGGGGGACACGCAGATGTATGCAAATCACATGCAAATTGGCAGCTAGAGCCAAATGCCTGAGCCCTTTTAATTCTGTAGCTGGACAGGGTGGTGGCTCAGTGGACTGCTGACTGTCCTTGGGACCCGGATGATGGAAAAGGGGGAGCAGAAGGAATTCCAGGGAAGGGGCTCTGAGCTGCTCCTGTTCTTTCTCCCTGCTGCCGCCCTGGCTTCCCTCACTGGTGCTGATCATTTGGTATCTTCTCCCCAGGAGCCAGCTGAAGGGAGAGAGATAAGGCCTTACCAAAGTGGGCGCTCCAGGAGCCAGGCTCAGCAGAGTTCCCCGGGGAGCTGGGGGAACAGCAAGGGTGCTCCAGCCTCTGTCTCTAGCAGACAAGCCCTCTTGGCAGCCCCCACCACCACCCCCGGCCAGCCTGCCCCCACCCAAACAGCAGGCTGCCCAGTTCTGTTGGTTTTCTGGCCAGAGTTTCTTCCCTCTCTGCTTCCTTCCCCCACTCCCTGAATGAGCTTACAGAGACGGCTTGGAAGGATATGAATAGATGACACAGGCCCAGCCAGGACTGTGCCTCCAGTCCCTTCAGGAGGGAAAAAACGGGCCATTGTGGCGGATACCACTGCCCGCTCAGCCTGGTGTAAGGCCCACAGCCTCCCTCTGGCCCAGAAGACGTTATCTGAGCAAGAGACCCATCCTGAGCTTACCCTAGGTACAGAGGACGGGCTGGATTCTTGAGGGAAAATTAGGGGAGCCGATAGAATTGTCAGAAGCCAAAGGGACCACACCCTTGTGGGGTTAAGGGGACCTCTGGCTGAGCATGGAGAACACCTTATCTGGGCAGCCCTGGAGAGAGAGAGAGGAAAGAGACCAGCAGTGAACCAGGACACGAGTTTGGGCACCCTGCCCCATGGTCTGCTCAGATGAAGGAGCTCAGCCAGCTCAGAGAAGATGCCAGAACTATGGGACAGACTCAAGAAAACAAGGGCATGTGACCAGAGCCCCTGGGTCTGTAGCTCAGTGTGGCTGCCCCTCAGTCACACACGGCGGTTCCAATTCCGGTTCAGTTAGGATTCATTTTCTCATTCATGCGTCAGCCACATTTCATAAGCTCACTGGCCACATGAAGCTGCCATGCTGGATAGCAGCTTCAGAGAGCACAGTCTGCTTGAGATACTCGGATGTTTTTCTTTTTCTATTTTCCCATGTGATGGCGTGACAGAGGAGCCACCCTGATGGTTGAACCATCTTTCCTGGCAAATAGACCCTGAGATGGATTTCAGGGAGGTGGATCTAGTTAATTTTGTAACCTGCCGTAATTAGGTTGGGTAGGTAGGTATGTGGCCGGGGAGGGTGGGAAGAAGAAAGTAGATAGCTCCCTCGAAAGACATCTTTGAAAAGGTACAGGGATTGTCCAGAGCATTCCTGAGGTCTAGGGAATTATAGCTGTCTGTCTTCACTCCCCTTCCTATTGCTCTCTGGGCTCATCTCCCTGCCTGGGATTCCCTGGGCTCCCATCTCTGGAGTTCATGCATCTAATCCCCTTACAGAGTTGTGGTGCAATTCCAGACTTGGCCAGTAGGAGGCTGCCATCTAACAACCAACCTTACCCCAGTGTTTCAAGTCTGGTCTTGCTTCTGAAAGGGCGAATCATCTTCGCTTAATACTGCCTACCTGGTTAATGCCTGTAACTGGGGCCTGTTCAATAGTACCCAGATACTTATCCAAGTCGCTAACATGATACAACTCCCCTCTCTCCCTCCCCCCAAAAAAGCCAAACGCTCAATCAGGGGATCTGTATACATCCTAAACTACATTTCATTTCGTTGTTGGCACTGTGAGGTAAGTTCTAAAAATAAGTTAATCCTATTTTTCCAATGATGAAACTGAGATCATCCAAAGAGACTGTATCTCAGGTCATACCGTCTTCCAGGACTTCTTCAGAAAGTTCTAGAAATAACCCTCTTACAATCCCTTTTGGTGGACCTTGTTCAAGTATTTACCTCATTACACCAAAATGCCTGCCGCTGCACCGTGAACACCTCAAGGACAACAGCTCAGTCTTTTCCTCACTGTATTCTCTATACCTTACTGCACAGCCACCTCAGTAAATGTTGGTTAAATCGGGAGAGAGCTAGAAAAATACAAAGGCGTGTGTACATTTTCACGGGCCATGCTGCGCGGACATGGTGTCTGTCTCAAGTGTGTGCTCACACACGCACACGCATATGCACACACTCTCCATCATGGGTGTTTGTGTATGTGTGGGGCTGTGAAGACTCGAGGGCCTCTGTAGAGTGTGGGGGAAAGGGAACATTTCTCATTGGGAAACCCTGCGTAAAGCCATTTAGATGGGGGGGAGGAGGTGGGAGGGGGGCAGTGAGCCACCTGCCCAGAAGGCAGAGCCAAAGGTCTGTTTATATCATAGAAATCCATTAAGCAGCCAGGAGCATCCTGGGAATTTAACCTTTCACAGCCATTTTTATCATCTCGTCTTTGTTTTGGTCTCCTCTCTGTGTTATTTGTTCCCAAGTGGTGTTCCAAGCCTGGGTTACAAGGCCACAGAAAAGAGAGGCACAGAAAGAAGGGAGGGGATCGGGAGGGCAGTCTCCAGCAGACACAAATGCCCCTGCTTCTCCGGTCACCTTATCTCACAACCTCACCTGGGTGGATGTGCTACCTACCCCGGCATGCTTCCTTCCCCCTGGGGCTCTGAAGGGAGGATGGGAGCCACTATGGTAGCCTTTAGAGAAAGGACTGAGATTGGAGGCTGGGAACCAGGTAGAAGAGGCCTCAGTGT